GAAAAGAAAACAATCATCTATTCACATTAGACAAACCTAAATTTATGGCACCGTTTCTTGAAGGAATATTTAAATGATTTTCAAAATTGGTGCCAATTCATTTTCTGTTACTGTAATTCCAAATCAGCAGTTTTAGCTCTAATTATATGCAACACAGTATACATACTACATATTCTATTGCTGGGCTTTTTACAGGTACATATAAATATTGAAGCAGTGGAGGACTAATTACACACCTTAACACTGGTCATTTTAAGTGACTGTGTGGATGTGAGGAGCTCCAGAGAGGAAAGAGAGATTTAGTGTTTGGATCAATAGTTTGTGTGCCTGCCTGTCTGAATAAGAGTGTCAGTATAGTGTTGGTCAGAGCTGTCTGTGTGCTCAAAGTCACAGCTAAGGAGTACACAGACACACACACACCCTTATGCACTGCATCTGCATGGCAGAATTACATGATGCATCCAAAAGGCAGAAGCTGAAGAAGAAGCGAAAGCAAAGAGTCCTTTATTTTTAGAGCTGCCATCTTGAAACATGAGTGAGATGTGAAGGTCTTGGTGTTTCGCAGGGGTGTGTTGATGACAGAAGGGAGAAATAGGTGATGAGGATGCTTTCTCTTTGGGCTGAGAGGCTGCCTGTTGATTCTTTCGCCGGGCTGTTGCCAAGGGATACAGCTGCCGGTGAGGGGAGGGTGGATGAAGGCGGCAGAGGTGGAGAGGTGTGACGACAGCACTGTGATGAGAGGAAAAGAGCTGCTTCTGTCGCTAAGGCTTTGATTGAAATAATTTCAGCATGAATCACAGACAATAATGGCTCTGCACAAATAACGCCAGTAGCTTTGTAATGGAAAACCCAGGCTTTTGTGCTGATGTTGAGGTGCATATTCAAGCAGTTTGGCCACGTATAAAAGAAATTACAAAAATATCACAGATTCAGTTATCAGTATTTTTTTTTTCTTAGAAAGGTGAATATAGCAAAAAGTCACATTAAAAGTTTGTAGTAGAAGTTATATTATTAAACACTGTCCTTGATTTAAAAAATAAGACAACTATTTAAATAAATAGTTTGAACATTTGAAATAAGCTTATTTGCTCTCTTTGTTACAGGCGATTCCAGGTGCTTACTGGACCAAGCCAAGAATTAGTGAGCTGGCAGGCACTTTTTTTTTTTAATCGCTGGACTGATCAAGGCTAGCTGTTTCCTCCTGTGTCTTGTCATATGCTAAGCTATGCTAAGCTAAGCTAACCAACTACTCACTCCAGGTTCATATTTACAGTTCAGAAAAGAGTGACTAACTCTCGGCAACCTAACCTGCATGTTTTTGCACTGTGGGAGGAAATTGCAGTAGTGGCGGCAGTGCTAACCACCGTACCGCTGTGCCGCTCATCCTTATAGTGTAATATTATTTATTTAAAAAATAGCTGTTTTTTTTCAAGAGAAACCTTAAATTTGCTCTCGGATACAGTTGTGTATCAAAATACACATAGTGGCAGATAATTAGTCTGCCAATTGTGCAGGTCGGTGATTACACCTTTATCAATCCCATTAAGACACGGAGTCCTGTGATGTCCTGTAACTACACCTTCAGCTTGAGCCGAGGTGTAATGAGGTACATAACTCATGTGGATGTGCAGGGCCTCTAAATCTGTTTACATGTTTTTGAAATATTCCACCAAGAGACAGACAAACAAAGATACACAGGACTGAAACATATCCCTATTGGCCAATATAACTATTTAAAGCTGAATCCTCCTAACCTCATGGTGATGCAGCTGCAGTTTTTACAGCTGTCTCTCATAATTCAACTTGGGAAGCCTTTTATGTTGGTGGATAATGTCACAGAGAGGGAAAAAAGTGGCCATACACAATATTTGATGGCATTAAATTGAAAGCAGGTGCAGTACTTAGAGAATAATGGGAATAGCTTCAGTCCTTTGTTGGCAAAATACAACTCTACTAAATCACTGATAAAAGAGAGGCAGTGGAAAAAAAGATTATGCTTTCTTTCCAAAAGTGGAAGCATAATCTTTGAACACCTTGTGTACTTCAGTTTGTCTCATTCAGAGGCATAAAATGTTTTGAACTACCAAGGTCAAATAAAAAGTAAGCGGCAACACAAAATCCTAGAGAAAGTAATACAGAAATCTATAACAACATACTGTTAAAAATATTTTGAGCTACCGCAACATGGTTGTATGCATCTGCCAACCTGTCAAATTAATGGCTTAGGGACAGAAGTGAGGTCACTGACCTTTAAGCACCAAAATCTAATCAGTTCATCTTTGAGTCCAAGTAGATACTGATGCCTTATTAGAAGAAATTCCCACCAGGTGTTCATGAGATGTCATGCTTACAAGAATCGTACTGACATGATCGTCCTTATGTTCCTTGACAGTCACAAATGTTAGATCTTGAGCAAGACACATGGTTGCAGGAGCAAATTTCTAGCTTTTTCTTCATATGAATTTAGTTTGTTTTTATATTGCATCTCCAAAATGTTTTCACATCTTTTGGAGTTGGAAAGTAAGTAAGATCCAAACAGATATCACTGAATAGGGCTCATGTTCCTGCTCATGTGTTCTTACCATTTTCACCTTAATTGGATAGTTTGTGCAGTGAAGACACAGACAGGAAACACAGGGAGTGAGAGAAGTGGGTATGATGACATGCAGCAAAGGCCTAGTGACGGTGTGGTTATGTAGCATGGACCCACAGATGGGAGGTAAAGAAAACTGAAGTTAATCTTTTATAACACCTTGAGACCTTGAAAAGCTGTGAAAGGCCTTAAAGACATCTTTGAGTTATGTGTGATATTGGCATCATGTGTCAGTTCATGTCTGTCTTTGTTTGTGTTTGACATACTGGTCTGTGTCTACAGAACAAGTATAAAATGTGAGTGTGAGAGACAAATGCAAAGTGCTGATTACTGACCTCCTTGTTTCTCCTCTGGCTTCACAGGACATGAGGAAACATGTGATGATGACCCTCGTGGACACAGAGCAGTCATATGTGGAGTCACTACGATCTCTAATTCAGGTAACGCATAAACACAACTATTGGTCTTATAAATGAGTAGTGTTCACTGGCGGACTCATTCTGTCTTATTGAACTTTGAACCCAGCACACATACATACAAAAACAAACACACCATTGTGGAGTCACAGATTGCCGAGGACATGAATAACAAATGTAGGTAACAAAGGTATTGTGTAATCCACTTATTGTCATTCATCCTGTCATGCTAACAGGCTAATCTGCTATAACCCCATCACATCTCGCTGTCAACAGCTTTATCTACCCCCCCCCACACCCACACACACACAAGCTCTTTGTATCCTGCATCCATCTTTGTTCTAAAGCCGTGTTCAGACAGAGTTTCAAAGGTGTGAAGAAACGTAGCTCTCTCCATTCATTTCTATGGGGGGGGGATTGCGTTGACCATCCAGCACCAGCACCACAGGGGCCCCCTGCAAAACAACGCAGGCCTATGAAGCGAAAAAGTTGAATCCAGTTCAACTATCACCAAATTTAAGCCACAGTTACAAATGCACTATAACAACGTGCCATATGTTTTCCTGGTCTGTTCCACCACTTGAAATTGGTGCATCTGTTCTGGACTGAACTCCTTGTAAAGGTGGTGAGGCAGCTGGGGGGTTGTGAGTGAAGGTGTGTGAAATTTTGATGAAGTGTTGCTTCTGTGATGCGCTGCTGGATGATTTCAATTTTAAACACTGCTTGCAAGAAACAGAATCCATGACGATAATTGTTAACATGCCATACATGCTGCACTACAACTTAATCATGTCATAAATGTGCAGGATTAGTAAAAGCGCTTCCCTGCTCTGTTCACCCACCACGTGATGTGTGAGCTGTAGCTTCTGTCAAACTGGGCATCAAGATTAAAGTCACACACTCGATACCTGGATGCCAGTATCTGTGTAAAAAGAACACAGGGGCAGTATTACACTGGCTTTTTTTTTTTTAGCTTGTTGTAAATAGGCAAAGCTGAATAGAAAGAATAAAGAAGGGTCAACTTAACACCAGTATAGTGGATTCTCTGTCCAAAAAGGGCCACTAGCATACACACACACACACACTCCTCACCTTCCCTATCTATGATGTCCCTACATTGTTGTTTAACCTGTCACCAGTCATTGTGTGTGGGAGCAGTGTGTGCGTTTCTTGCATTCATCTGTGCATTTTTCTGAAATGTGCGTTTGTGTGAACATCTCACATGCACACTGACTTTGCTGTGCTTCTGCATATGCGTGTGTGTGTGGGGGGTGGAGAGGGGGGCACAAAGTGAATAATCCTTGGCTGTGTTGCCATGGCGTCACAGGGACAGGAAATGTTACCATGGTGACTGCAGATGTCTCAGTGAAGGAGGGTGTCACATATGGCTCAGCTGAAAGCGCTCCACAGCACCACTGTCCAGAGTTGAAATGTGATACTTTGCAGTTTTTTTCTGAGAGTTATAGGGAAGGTTTTTGTGTATAACCCATGTATGTAGTATGAAAACTAGATACAGTACCACTGCTCAGCTGTTCAGCTAAACTTTCCCAGGAGCCACCCATAGTGCTGCGACAAAAAATTCCCCTGGGGTGCAAGATGTATTGTCTCCATAGAACCGAATGGCAAAAGAGCCATCCATAAAACTGTTGACAGGATACCTTGAACTACAGGCCAGGTCAGTTACCACTCTTGGTATCATGCATTTTTAATCTATGGAGGATTTATAGTATATTTGTAAAACTTTTCCAGAGCCTAAAATACTGAGTTTTATTTTTGTGAAATCAACCCAATGTAAAGTCAATCCGCTGAGTGGGCGTACCCAGGGGCAGCAAGGAAATCTCTACTGTGCTTGTACAGCAGGTCGCAAACGTGTAAGAGTAAAAAGTTTCTTGCCATACGTACCACATGAGCAACTTTCAGTGGTAAGAATGGGCACATTTTGTCATCTGGTATCACTGTAATCAGTATTTGTTTTGCTGCTGTGTCCACCGAGCTGAGATCATGAGAAATTAATATGAGCTGTTTTTATAATAACAACAAATGACATAATTGTGCATAATGTGAGTAAACTTGCTTGTAGTGATCAGCCCACAGAGGAGTATTTTGCGACTCTCCAGTTCCCCTCAGCCATACAGAATGTTTCGGTGTCTTTCAGATCACTGTTTTGGTTTTCCAATTTGCAGTTTTACTGTTTTGTCTCACTCTCACCACTTTTATTGTGCCATTTTTGGCCACCACAGGTAAATGTTTACAGCTAAAAATGACACAGGCAAATTGGCATTTAGCTGTGAACATACTGTAACATTTAACAGATAAAGATACTTCTCTCAAGAGCTTGTGTTGACAAAAATAGAGATTTTAAAAAACAGTGGATATTGGGCCTATATTCAACAGGTGCTTCTAGGATAATAGATGGAATATAATAGCAGAAAGGCCCACTTATCTCCTCTTTAGTGGCTGCTCAGTGTGTGTATTCATTAAAAGACCAAAAATACATATATCTCTGTGTATCATATCTTTTCCTGTTCTATAAATTATTTCATATCCCCTCAGATTTGTTTTTTGTGGCCCTTTGCAGGGCCCTCACTTTTGGTTGGGAACTGCTTCACAAAACTGTCACACTAGCTTTGTTTTGACTAACTATGACAGTAAAGTGCTAGTTACACAGTGTGGTGTTTACTACAGGTACTTTAATTACATTTTGATGGTAATGTTTCTATACTTTTACAGTGGGGTTTTGAATCCAGGGCTTTAACCGGCTGTCTTATACCTGTAATGTGCACAAGCTAACCATCAGAGCTTGTCTATTGAGTGTGAACACAGAACACACAAACAGTGGTGCATACATGTTCTTTGTGTGTGACACACCTGACCTGTTGTGAGGTCACTGTCTGGAATTAAGGTGAAACTGCCAAAAGCAGAAATATTTTGTTTTGCGCGTGTGTGTGCGTGGGCCTGTGTGCAGCAGGGATGCTTGGCAACAAAATATTTAAAGGCATTTTCTAATAATAGCATTTTTGTAGCCCTGTTGTCCAGGAGAAGCCATGGAGGGGAGAGCAACATCCTCCCACCTTCCTCTTTCCCCAGAAAACACGCCTTGCTTGCTCTTGCTTCTCCCTCTTTCTTGTAAAATCTACAATAACACAATTAGATTCATAAAAGAACATGTTCTTGTTCTTGTAGATGAATATAGAAAATGTTGTTAATGCTGCTTTTGTTCACATTACAGGATGAAAATGCATACATATAGTAATTTAGGGCTGTTTCAGTTGATTACATAAATTAATATTGGTATTATTTGATCTGAAATTTTCATACACATTACCCCTCACAAGCATATAGCCTGTAGATCATCCATACCTGAATGACCTGAAATGGCTGTTCTGTCCCCTCAGGGTTACATGCGTCCTCTCAAACAGCCAGACGGCAGCTCCATAGTGGACCCTCTGCTAGTAGACGAGATGTTTTACCAGATCCCAGAGATCTTGGAGCACCACGAGCTCTTCCTGGACCAAGTCACCAGCTGTGTCAGCCAGTGGCACGACAGGCAGACCGTCGGACACCTCCTCATCCAATCAGTGAGTAGAGATGTCAAATTAGAGTGCACATTGCTGTACTTTAAAGTCAAACATTCATGTTCTTAACATGATGATCAGATTTTAAGTGAGACATCAACACAGAAGAAGATTTATGAATGTCTGTGTGCGTGTCCATATCCACTCTTTCATCGCAAAGCTTCTTATTTATTGCTCAGAAATCAAGAAGGAACAGTAGAGATACCCCAAATATCTGTTTGAGCTCATGTAGAAACATCGTCTCCATTAGTTTATCCATCAGAAAGCACTTATGAGTATTTTTCACCAACAGCATAGAGTCCGTTTTAATGTAGACTGGAGCTGTGTTGATAAAATAGTCTTTGAAAGCATTTTTAGACAGATGGGCACTCTTACGGTAACTATAGTTGGAACATTTGTTTAATATTTAGTTTTCCCAGTGACCTCTCAGCTACCCATTCAAAATTTCCCATGACCCATGGCTGGCTCTCAACCTAGACTTTAAAAACAGTGCTCTGAAAACATCAGGCTAAATGTCAGGTTTTAGGTTTCGAGAATGAAAGAGAGAGCAGCTTCTGTCCAAGCTGATGACCTGGACAAACTTTAAGCAAGAATACAGGCAGAAATTCATTGTAGAAGAAGCACAAATTCTTTACAAGCACGCCAATAGAGCAGAATGCACAATGCATCGCCACAGCTTTTGTTTTCTACTGAGTGGGAACGACCATCGCTCTCTTCTTGCTATGCTAATGCTATTGTTATCACTCTCAACACCTCTCAGCTCGAATCAAGCAGTTTCACAAACTCTCACAAAGACAGTATGGAAAATGAAGGAGGCCATTAATGTTTGGGTGAAGAATTCCACATTACAAAATGTAATTATTTAATTTTTAAAACTTCATTAATCCTGAGACAGTTTCACAGATTCATAATAAATAAACATATATGTTGCTAGGTTTCCTGTCTTTAAATACAAATTAAGGAGACAGAAACATAAGAACATTAATGGAGGTAGTTGCAAGCAGAAAGGTGCAGTAGGTTTTCTCCTGTTCATGTGAAGCTGTTGCGCACACACACTGCTCAGACTGAGCCTCCTACCCCCACTCGTGTCCTTCTTCTCTCCTCTTGCCTAGTCATACTTATCTCTCACTGCAGCTCTTAAAGCTGCAGCAGCCGCAGCATTCTGTGGGCCTCGTTGGCGCAGTAGGCAGCGCGTCAGTCTCATAATCTGAAGGTCGTGAGTTCGAGCCTCACACGGGGCAGTGTTTTGTTCGTGACTTGCTGTTTGAAGAGCAGATGTGCAGTGTCAGTGCTGTACAGACGGTGGGAAATGCCTTTGTGCCGCCAGTGTTACTTGCAGAATTCTCTTGCAACAGCAGTAAATCTTTCTAGATTTGTCTAACTATCGTCACACTAGACTTATTTCATGATACAGACTTTTGACTTTGATGTAGCTAAAACAAATTATTGTATTCTCTCACCACTCCACCAGTTATTAATACACAGATGCCATTACTTTTTCTACCATCACTTTGTATGTTTAATGTGTGTGTTCAATAAAGACATGAAAGATCATGACTGTTTGTATTTTATCAGCTTATAAATATTGTGTTTGTTGATGATTGTGATTTAACTACAAATAGACAAAACTAGACAAAATTTACTTTTCTTACAAACAAAAACAGTCTAATTTTTAAATTTGCTGTAAAGTAGTAACATAATTATCATCCTCTCTTTTTTTCTCCAGTTCTCCAAAGAGACCCTTGCTAACATGTATTCAGCGTACATAGACAACTTTCTCAATGCTAAAGATGCTGTGAGGATTGCCAAGGAGGCCAAGCCAGCATTTCACAAGTTTCTGGAGGTGAGTGTTTGACTGAGGCCCAGGATGTCTTGTTTCATCTGAGAGGCTATTTGTTTGTGCTTATTTGGGGGAAAAAAATAGGAAGCCAGTCTGGAAACCTTTTCTTGTCTGGTACAAAGGCCTTAAAACCAGCTTTTTAGAGCCTGAAACTTTACTGAAAGAGATGAAGATTAAAGTTGTGTTGCTTTCTGTCTTTGTCATTTGCCATACTGAAAAGCGTTTTGTTGTATCTGTTTTGTCAGTTTCAGCTTTGTATTTAATGTGTGTGAGTACTTCCTGTCTTGTTCCTTGTCGTTGTCCTTGCTTGTACGCCCCTGGGTTTTTGACTTTAAAGAAGAGACACTTGATTGTGCACTAAAGTTGTAGACTCCCTTATGAATTGAGAACTGAAACTTGACAAGAGCTAAATTCAAATGAAGTATTTCTTCTATTATTGCCAATTATAAATCAAATTTTATCTGAGGAACATTTTCTCTTCCCCTGCTTTGGAGCTCTGGATGACTGAAATGTTATATAAATCGTCTCTTTAAACTAGTTTATCTCACATTTTAGCGCTATGCCCAGTTAAATTTGGTAAAACACTTTTGTACACTTTGACTCTGTCTTGTGCCACTAGAAATGAATGCATGGGGAAAAACAGTCCAAGTTGCTGATAAACACTTGTCATGTTCTCAGTTTACAGTCCCATAGAGCTTTACTGTAAGTCAGGCAGGGTTTCTACTCTGGAACCACTTCGCCATCTTGTGGTGAAGATGTGAAGTGCAGCACTGGTTTACTTTTAGAGGCAGTTATCTTGTTAGTTGGGCTCACCCCCTTATGTCCACGCTCTGTCTCCATTCTCCTTCTTCCTTCACTCCAACAGCAAAACATGCGTGAGAACAAGGAGAAACAGGCTCTGGGTGATCTGATGATTAAGCCCGTGCAGAGGATTCCTCGATATGAGCTTCTGGTTAAGGTGAATTATCTTATAAATCTAACCTTTAACTTTCTGTATTATGTAATTAGCCACATTCTGTGTTTAGTACCAAGAAGCTTGTGTAAAGGGAGATGAATATATTTGCGTTTGTGTTGTTTGTTGTAGGACCTGCTCAAGCACACCCCAGAGGATCATCCAGACCATCCACTCCTGCTGGACGCCCAGAGGGACATCAAGCGATTGGCTGAGAGAATCAATAAGAGCCGTCGATCTGCTGAGGAGGCAGAAAGGGAGGCCAGGGTCATTCAGGAGATTGAGGCACACATAGAAGGAGTTGAACATGTGAGATATTTACTATGTAAAGTATATCACAAAGACAAACCTCTGTTTGTAGCTGATGGCTTTGGGGCTAGAGCAGTTGCTTTCATTGTTGGCTGCTGTTTAGTTTTTAGGTTAACTGATACTTTATCAGAAAATCTAAAATATATATATGTATATAAAAAAAAGAGGTCATATTTGTTAACAGATAGGATTATACTCTGCTGTGTTTATTATCATGTCAGACAAGGACAAGCAGCAAATCTCACAACTGAGGTGTGGGAGCTAGAGAATATTTGGCCTTTTTGCCTAAAAACAACCTAAATTATGAATCAGTGACCAAAATAGTTGCTGATTAGTTTTTAATTGGAGCAACTGATTAGTCAGCTGTTCATTTCAGCTTGAGTTGACTTCTCATTCTCATCAGTCTTGTGCCATAAGAAATGATTAATGAAAAACATCTTTTGCAGTGGTTCTCACTGCTTACACTTGTGTACCACTAAGTACCTTTATTTTTACATTATAATAGGCAGTAACAGTTTACAATTATTTTGATAGTGTCTAACTCTCTCTTAATGTTGTGTTTTTCTTAGATTCTTAACCCCCAGAGGAAGTTCCTGAGACAGGAGATGGTCATGGAGGCGGTAAGAAATGCTTTCTGAATTGGCTAATGTTTTTATTAAAGTAGCAGAAACTGGTGGCATCGTTTTTGGAAAATAGGTCAAAATAATAGAACATTATATGCAAACAGCATTAGAAATTGCTGTCTTAGATATTACTCACTATCCTACTTAAGTCACCACTTTAGCAGGCATTTGCTAATACTATTTTTTTTGTTTGTTTGTTTGTTTTTTTTACAATAATGTACGGTAAAACATTCAGAGCTCTTCCTCTCTCCCTTCTCTCTCTCTGTAGAAGACAGTGGGTGGGAAGAAAGACCGTTCTCTCTTCCTCTTCAGTGATCTGATCATTTGCACCACTCTCAAGAGGAAGTCTGGCTCATTAAGACGCAGCTCCATGAGCCTGTATGTACCACACACATAGTGTAAACACACTGACAGAGGAGGACAGACGTTCACACAGAGTGACAGTGTTTTCTACTGTTTACCTCCGTTTGTCATCACACCTTTCTTTTTTCCTGTCTCTCTGTCCCTTTCCTCTGCTGCTCTCTCTCTCTCTCTCTCTCTTGCTCTCTCTCTCAGATACTCTGCTGCAAGTATGATCGATACCTCCAGCAAATACAAGTTCCTGTGGAAACTTCCTCTAGAAGATGTGGAGGTGGTGAAAAGTAAGACTGTCTTATTTTAAATGACTACACATGACTCTTTATGTGTAGAAAAACTGTGGGATTTCATGTAGTGCTTAATATAACATTTATTAGTCACCAGTAATTGTGGAAATGCTCAGATTCACATTAAGATGTTTGCTGCTTCAGTTAAAATGTGAAAATTGGCTCTTGGTAACTGTTGTATGGTCCTCTGACTGTTGGTTCTCCCTTGTCTCAGGCTCCACTCAAACAACAAACAAGGAGAGCATCCAGAAGATGATCAGTCGATTAGACGAAGATCTCAGTACACTGGGCCAGGTCAGCAAACTGTCCGAGACCCTCAGCTTCCCACACCAGGTACTGTGGACCAACACACACGTGCAGAGGGCAGTCACATGTTTCTGAGTTTTGATCTTTCTTGAGCTTTTATTCTGTCAAGCAATAAAATCGTCACACTGCAAACATAGCAGAGAAACTGTACGTGTAGTAACTTTTCATATGTTCTTGGTTGTTGCCCTCTGCCTCAGTCTCTAGATGAGGTAATAAAGGATCTGATGGCATCGGTGCACAGAGAGCTCTCAGAGAAGCAGTCTTTGGCCTTCAGTATGACCTTCCTGCCGACAAAGCTGGAGTTTGCCACAGCCTCTGCTGAGAGCACCTTTGTCTTTGAGTTCACTTCGCCTGATGCTCGCTCCAACTTTGAACAGGCCTTTGAGGAAGCCAAGAAGAAGCTAGGTCAGAGAACAAGCCTTATAATTGGGAGATAAAAGATTATTGACTATACTGTAGCTTGCTAATAAACATTACGTTTACTTTGAATGCTTCATTTATTATTTTATTGTTATTGAATCTGATTATAATTCATTCATGTTTCTTCAGCTATGAATAAGGATCAGTGGGACCCAGAATTTCTGAAGGCCATTCCTATTATGAAGACACGCAGTGGAATGCAGGTGAGAGTTACAGGAAATATCTCTTGCTTAATATGTTTAGCTTCTTCATGCAGGTGAGAGTTACAGGAAATATCTCCTGCTTAATATGTTTACCTTCTTTTTTCTGTCACACAACCGAAAGCGCTGTGTGTGTGTGTGGTTTTTCCAGAGAAAGTGAATATCACATCTACATTTTTACATCAGCTGAGTTCATACCTGCAGACAAAGTTGTCTGTATACCTCCAATCATGTATTGTTGTTTGTCTCCAGTTTTCATGCGCCTCACCCAGCCACAGCTGTCCTGACAGCGGCTGCGAAGTGTGGGTGTGTAACAGTGATGGATACGTGGGACAGGTGAGAAAACACTATACAGTATATGTTGATAATATACATTGATGGGAATTACACAGCCAGTCACAGTTCGCTGAGCTTACTGGAGCTAAGATGATGTTTCCTCTCCAGGTGTGTCTGTTGAACATAAAAGATGAGCCTACAGTGGAGGCCTGTATCGCTGTCTGTTCAGCACGGATCATCTGCATTGCTGCTGTACCAGGACTCAAGGGAAGGTCAGTGATCACAAGTACTCACTCTCACATGAATGCACAGATACAGAGGTAGGCTACACTTGAACTGCCTTTCCACCAGAATGTTCCTGGTACTTTTTATTCCCAGGAACTAAAGCCCAAGAACCTTCCCCTGGTGACCTTTGGGCGCCTTGTGATTTGCATTTCCACAGCAGGGCTGAAGCCCAGGGAGGGTTAAACAAATTAGCCCGCTGACTTAAAAGCACAACAGTCGGCAGTGGGGTTGTAAGAATGCTGCATGTAAAATGCTCACTATGGTTAACACATACCAGTAGTGGAGGACAGACTGCAGCTGGCATTTTGAGCTTCATAAACACAGGTGATAAGGTGGAAGTGTTGCTTTGGATGCAAACAATAGTACAGGTGTACCTAATAAAGTGGCCAGTGAGTGTATATCGAGCTTCAGTTTCTCTCCAAGTACTTAAACAACTCATTGTTGTGAAATCATTCTTCATGTCTTAGGGAGCGTGGATCAGAGCCTGCACTCACCCCGACCTCTGCAGCACCTGGCCACACCCAGCAGCAGCTCCACATATCGATCTCCCATTCATCTCTGGAACCGAAAGAGCAACCTACAGGTTGGCCCATAAACATATTTACAGCACGACATGCAAAAAGACTTCCTATCTAATTGGGTCTTATACTGTGTTATCCTAAGGTGTTTCTTAAATACACTCACTTGTATTCTACCTGTTTGTGCAGTTTTCAGTTAGATATAAATATCACAGCACTGATCACTGACTGTTTCCAGGATCAGGGGCAGAGCTTGTTCCATTTGACAGTGATGACACAGATGATGAGGATTCACCCAGTCCTTCTTCCACTCTACAGAGTCAGGCCAGTCACTCCACCATCTCATCCAGCTATGGCAGTGAGTAAAAATGCATCACACACACAGTTGGACACTCTTACTATCCCTCTCAGACCCTCACGCTCTGCTTTATCTCTAAGATGATGACGGTCCAGGCTCCAAGGACATGGCTACAGAGACCACCAGCAGTGAGGAGGAGCAGGAATTCCCAGCGGCAAGTTCATACGGTACTCCGGGGATGTTGGCAGTATGCGGAGGAAGTCGAGCCCAAGCAGAGAGTCCCGTGGACGGCCGCGCCATGCGCCGTTCCTCCCGGGGTTCTTTTACCAGGGCGAGTCTGGAGGACCTGCTTAGCATCGACCCTGAGGCCTATCAAAGCTCAGTGTGGCTTGGCACAGAGGATGGATGGTGTGTGATGCACTGCCACATGCAGCATATGTTTTGGGGTTTTTAAAGTAGCTTGTAACTTTTCAGATGAAATTAAATGTTTTAAATCACCAGGTCTTGCACACATATATCTTTCTTACTTGTCAGTGTTTGTTACTGCCTTCTTATGATGCTTTGCTTTCTGTTAGCATCCATGTGTATCAGTCCTCGGACAACATCCGCAACCGTAAAAACAGCATGAAGATGCAATACTCCGCTTCCATCCTCTGTATACTGTGAGTCTGCCTTTATGCTACTGGGTTTGCTTTAAGAAAGAAAAGTATTACTTGAATTAAAGCTGTATTATACATTTAAAAATGCAGAATGTGGAAAGCTTGGAAGAAAATGGGGTGTAATGGAATTTGATGTAGCTGGGTTCAAATGTGTTTGGTTTATTTTCTTGTAGAGCATACATGAAGATTTGATCTTATAGTTTTTATATCCGTCCTTTTTTGTCTTCTTCAGGTATTTGGACAACAAAGTGTTTGTGTCTTTAGCCAATGGAGAGGTGATTGTCTATCAGAGAGAAGCAGGTAAGCTGGGAGTGTGGAGGGAAGGGAGGTTTGAAAGGCACCACACTTGGTTGTTGTTGGCTTCTTCTGATTTAGTTTTTCTGTTAGCTGTAGCACACAGCACTTCATTTTATTCAAATTGCTGCTACCATAGTAAAGGTTCCAAATTCTCACAAAACACTCAACAATAGCGGTTGCTCTGGTCTTGAGGATGAGGTAAAAACAACATTTTTTATTTCTGTCTTCGCTCTGTTTTTTCCTTACTTCATGCAAATCTAATCTGCAGGTAGTTTCTGGGACCCTCAGTCTTCTCAGACTTTACTTCTAGGCCCACCTGGTATTCCTGTCACCAAAATGGTTCCTGTGGGAGGGAAGCTGTGGTGTGGCTCACAGAACAGAGTCCTTATTATCAACACATTTACACTGGTACAAGAGGTAGGTGGAGCAGTTGAATAAAAGATGATGCAAACAGACCATAAAGAGGAGTACCGGTGTGTAACAGTACTGTCTTCCTTCCTCCTTCCCAGCACTGGTTCCAGGTGGGCACAGACAGCAGTCGATGTGTGACGTGCATGGTGGTGTACGGTCAGGGTGTGTGGCTGGCACTGCAGGGTAGTGCGCAGGTCAAATTGTACCACGCTCAGACTTGGGAGAGCCTGACAGAAGTGGACGTTGCACCTGCTGTGCACAAGATGCTCGCAGGTGAGGGCACACATGAGGAATATGAATACACACACATACAAATATCCAGGGCAGAACCCTTCTGGGAACACATGTACTGACTGAATATGAGCCAAGAACTGAGTAACGATGCAGAATTTATTTGACTGTCAGATGCCAGCAACAGCTCAGCAACAGGAGCTTTTTCCTTAACGCTTCTTTCTTTAACCTAATTTTCCACCCATCTGTTTATTTCCGTTTCCTCTTGGTGCTCTTTATAATTTTGATGTTGTCTTTTTCTTTCACGTTCACCCCTCTCATCACGCTGTGGTGACCTCGTTCCTATTCTCTCTGTTCCCTTTCTTCATTCAGGGGCAGATGCAATCATCAGACAGCATAAGGCCGCCTGTTTGAGAATCACAGCGTTGCTAGCCTGTAAGGACCTGTTGTGGATCGGCACCAGTGCAGGTGAAAACACACTTTTTAGTCTAACAGATCCAAAAAACACGATCCTAATAATTAAACCAATTTGCTATTTTTATTTCATGATTAAATCAGATTTGGGCAGCCATTCAAAGCCCTGGAAATAATCTAAAACCTCATCCAAACAACATAAAAAGGGCCATATGCTGTACTAAAATATTTAGTGTTTAGTCATATTCAGTAAACTGTTGGTTTTGTATTTTGATTTTTAAAAATGGGTAAAAATGAATTCTATCAATATGTAGTGTAAAACTAGGTAAACCAATCCTTTTTATTTAGGACACTTTTTAATATAGTCTTTTTAGTAGCAAATGTCCTGCAAGTACAGTATTTAAGAGTGAATATTTTAAATGGTGGCACTGTCAAATTTTAAATTGATTGTTATTCATTGGATTCAAAACCAAAGCATATTTCAAGATGGTGTTCCTCTACAGGGGTCGTCCTCACTCTGGCAATCCCAGCAGTGAGCTCAGGAACTGGTGCTGGGACACTAAAATCTCCCCTGGTGCCGATGGGCTCAGCTCATGGACATACGGGCCATGTTCGGTTCCTGACAACAATTGAACTGCCAGAAGGGTTTGACGTGAACCTCCCCTCTGCAACAACTGACTCCACAGGTTTCCCTGCTTTTTAAAATATATTTTCATAGTTCAATAATTTTTTCCACACAGTATGCATTTACACATGTGCTTTGAAACCTTGTTTTGTATGCACACTTTTCTACATTTGCTGTAGAAATATTTATAGAAAAAATGTACAGAAAACCTGGGAATTTTTTTGCCCGTTTTCCGGTCATGGAAAAGTCATGGAAATTGAGATCAATTGTACAATGTCCTGGAAAAACACTGTGTCATCCTAGAAAACATTTTTGCATTTTCCTTTTGCCAAGAGTAAACTGTCAGATCTCAGCATGAGCTGGCAGCTGAAATTAGGGCGCTGTGTGAGATAAGCTTAGAATAGCAGGGTTGCCCCTGCTACAGGCTTATGGCTTGTTTTCCGTAGGCTTAGTTAGTTGTTAGCTTAGGGTGTTCAGCATTAGCTGTCAATAATCAATTGGTCATAAAACATCTATAGAGCATCATCATAGATTATCACACGATTTAAAAATGATTTCCACACAGAAGAACTTGTTAGTCTAGGATGTCATCCCCATTTGACACCACAGTTTTACGCCATATAAAGTGTCCTGAAAATTATTTCCTGAAAAGAGTGGGAACACTGTGAACTGGAACATACTTTTCTCAACATTTAATTCTTCCTCTCTGTTTTTAGGCAACCAATCCCAGAGCAGCAGCACAGTTGACAAGAACCTCCAAAGGTATGACTCCTCACGCCGCCGAGCCTCAGCCCACAACCCTCCAAAGACCAACCACCTTGTCATTTCTGGCGGCGATGGCTATGAGGACTTCAGACTGACCAATAGCAGTGAAACAGTCGGACGGGATGACAGCACCAACCATCTTTTGCTTTGGAGGGTTTGAGACAGTCAACCCCAGTTTGAACAAACCACCCCAACCTCTATCTAGCTGAAAATGGCGCACAAGCTCTTTCTCCTATTTCACTCCTCACTTTTTGGTGTTGTTATTTTGGTCTTCTGCTCGGTCCACCGGTCTCTGTGTGCACAATATGGATGTCAGCTCCCTCCTGGACTCACTGGTGAATATGATCACTCCCAGTTTTCTTGTGTTAATGTTGCTGATGGTGTGTGTTGGTCCTCACAGAGTTGTTTTGTTTTTCTGGCATCTGCGAGTATTTAGTAGAGAAATCTTTAAATTCAAGACTTCACCTGAGAGACAGAAGATGACAGAAGGCAGAAATGATGTGTTGCATCTTCAAACTTTCACATGTAGCCATACGTTCAGACTGAGAACAAATGAAGAAAAAAAGAAGACGACTTGTCCAGAGTGAAGAGTGTCCTTATTGTTTGACGTGTGCTCTGTTTTCTTGGACTTGGACATGAACCTTTTATTCCATTACTTCCTGAGCTTCAGACAAAAAGCATCTAGATGATCAGAGGAAAACATCATAACCAAATATATGAATATCTCAATGGTAACTAACTGAAATATACCAACACAGACTGAATTTGCATCTATTTTTGTAGCTAAAGTTCAAGATTAGCAGAGGTGTTCAGTTGACACCTGTGAGCCTTTAAAGGCTGAAGCCTTTCGCTCCAGTCAGGAAAACAACTCCAAATGACAGATCTGAGATCAGATCTTTCTGGCCTAAGCAAGGCTGAAATAACACTCGCGATCATTGCTAATAGATGTGAGACTGCTAAAATAGGCTGTAGAAGGAGAGTGATAGCAACATTTAAGTGCAATATGTGGCAAGACTATAAGTCACATATTCACATGCATACAGTCACATGCATTAATGCATGGACTCACATAAATCAGAAGACTGTGAAAAACATAAATGTGTGTTTGCTACAAGTAATCCCATTGCATCGGTTTTTCTTATTTAATTTCCACTGCCAGTTTAAGATGGCATGAACTTATATGGAGCATTGGAGACTTTAACATCACTATGCCAAAGCCTTATAAAGTTTAAACATTAAGGGATCTGGAAATATTTTATTTGCCATTAAATTTAAATTTCAGGGGTGGTCTGTCAACAGGGAAATGGACACAGGTGTTGCTGGTTTCTATAAAGATGATGCTCGGTTGTAGTAGCAGTTGAGGATAGTTAATGTACAGTATTTATGGTTTTGATTTTAGCGCCTTCTTTTACAGCACTTAATTTATAGATGATGTAGCTTTCACTTTTTTTTTTTTCTTTTTGAGTTGTTTACCAGAACAGATAAACCAGCATATTTTGGCTCAGGCAGACAGACATGTACACTAGTGATGTAATGATACTAGTCCACTCATGGGATGGTACAATGTATAATGCAGGGTTCTTATTTTGGAGTTGTATGACCTCATACATGTAGGGAGACAGGACCATAAAGGAGAAGGTCTAGAGGAAACTGCAAAACCTTCTTCGGGTTGTAGCTAAACTTAACTCTAACAGAGCACACAGTCACTCTGTCACCTGTTTAGGTGCCAAAGGCCAAGATGTGCTCTATGTTTCAAATCAGTTTGTTACATGAAGTATACCACTAAGATGTATTGTTATATGTAATGCACAAACCCACACAAACACTGGTTTCAGTATTGATGGTTGGAAAACAAGATGCATGTGGTTTGTTTATGCGACAAGAGTGTGCGATACACACTCAGTGAGAGGACGCCGAGCTGCTGCATGTCTTCAGAAGGCTAGTTAAACCATTTTAAGCAACCACACACAGAGTAAAAAAGTTAGCTCTTCCTCCACTTACAGCAGATGACCGTGGAAGTGAAGGATTACTCTGACCTGTCCTTGCACACAATGCTCACACACACATTAGCCTCACGCTTTGGGGTTAAGTGGTGATTGTCTTTGACCCCTCTAAGCCTAGAAAACCTCACTGCCCCTTAAGCAGCCACCTGGGCACATCACCTCAGCGTTGCCCCTTCCAGGTACATCCACAGTAGGTTAATTAACTCTCCCCCTGTGAGTGGGGCTAACACTTAAGAGGATTAGCTAGTCATTGTGTTTGCTGCTAACTAGCTATCCAGCTTTTTGCCTCTTCAAGTGGAAAAGTGAAAAAGTGTGCCTGTACATCCTCCAAATGTGCTGTAATTAATTTGAAAAGGAGCTTTTCTGTGAATCTCTAGTGGCACTTGAGGCAAAATTCCTGTTTGCTTGTAGCCTGTAAAAAAATACAGCTGAGTAAAGTTTGCAAAACCACCAATCAGCACTTCTAGCTAACTATTTTTTTTATAAAAGTGGCATTAATTATTTAATCTGTACAAAAAGCAAGTGGATAAATGAGTCACTGTGGTTGTGCCATTGCAGAGAGTGACTTTCTACAGTGTTTAATGCTTCGGTTTTTGTACAGAACAAACAAATAAGCACTTTAAAGGTGCTGGTAGTCAACCCTAGTCAGAGCCAGACTAGCTGTCTTTATGCTAAGCTAAGATAAGCGAGCAGTCTTCTGACTGTAGATTCCTGACATTAGTATTTTATAAGTCTTGGAAAGAAAGCAAAGTAGTTAATGTCCTAAAATGACCATTCATAAAATTTCATGTATTTTAGTATAATTTTTATGTTCTATATAATTCACGAGTAATGTTTTCAGTCTGTGCCAAGAGCTGCCAAGTTACCAATGAAGCTGCTGGGGGGATTAGGCTCAGGAGGTAGAGTGTTCATCCCTCAACTGCAAGGTCGGGGATTCAATTCCCATTCTATGTGTTGAAGTGTCCTTGGGCAAGACACTGAACCCCATGTTGCCCCCAATGGCCAGGTCAGTGCCTTGAGGAGACAGTGCCACCATCGGTGTGTGTGAGGTGGCGCCACAGATGGCTGCCTCTGTTCTGTACTGGAGACAAATTCCTTGTCTGTGTAATATACTTGGCCAATAAAAATCATTGTCATCTACATATGCTGGCTGTACACATATTGAGATCTCCCTTCAGATTGGAGATTAGAGTTTTTCTGTGAACAGTAAAACATTGAGGGTGTTGGAGCAGTATTTCCGAATTGGGCAGCATAAAAGGGTCATAGTTGTTTGCTGGTGTGTTCCAAGTTTATTACGTTTTTAGTGTTTTCAAGCTCTGGGATCTTTGGGTAAAACATAATTACTCAGTGTAGCCTACTAGGCCAAAAATGGTTCTACATTTTTGGTAGGAGGCTCTGTTCATGCTTTTTCTGAAACAACTAAAAGTCAGTAACTTTCAATTCAAGTTACATTCTTTTAAAAGTCTGAAAACATTTGCCTTCAGAATATAGCCTACTCTTACAATTCCTCAGTTGTCATGTAAGTATAAATGACTGAATAATCCCATATTCAGCAATGTTTTTGCATTGCAGGGGCTGAGCCCATTGTACTGGCTCACATTTTCTTCTGATTACCAACATACGAGCACACACACACGTGCAAGCACACCACATCTTAGATTTGAAGTAAAACTGAATACTGAATGGTAATTAGACCAGGATTGAGAGAATGAAGCATACTGTGTGTCAGTTAAAGAAACACAACACTTTATTTTCACCCTCACATGAACTTCAGTGTCATTACTGTCATCTTCAGCAACTTGTGAGTGACCTCCTCATGCCTGTATGTGAACGAAGTCTTTGTTGTTGTAAATATTGCTATATATTGCCTTGTTTTCTGTAAATAGTATTCCCACGCTCCTCAATTGTTGATATGAATCTAATGGCATATTTTTATATATTTGTGAAAGGTTTGTTTTTATTGTCGCCCCCCCCATGTGTGCTGTCAGTCACGTTTAAATTATACCTGTCATAGATCTTTCCAGAAGACAGTATGGGCTCTGTTGTTACCAGGGTGACAGAGAGATAGAGTTTTCGTTGGTAACCTTGTCACCTCTTTGTTGACATTTGCCTCGTTACACGAAGGATGACACCCACTTGGTCATAACTCTTTCTGGCCAACATTTTGCAGTTGTTATGGTTCCAGTCTATCAGCATTATTTCCTGTTTTTGTTTTGTCATTGTGGGTTCATCTTTGTAATTAAATCAGTTCACTGGTGCCCATTTGTGTCTGTTCTGCTTTCTTAAGCTGGTGAGCTGTGGGTCTCTTAAAAATTTCAACTTACAGCAAAATAAGTTTGGTAACACTTTATAATGAAGCCTGTAGTTTGCAGCATAATATCTGATGCCTATAAAATCCTTACAAATCCCTGTACAGTAACTAAATAAGTAACTAATGTCTTCTGATGCTCTCCTTGCTCAGCCACAATGTTATCCCTGTGATTTTTACCAGCACGCTTCAGTGTCACTCCCCTGTTCAGTTTACTCTAACCCACTGAGCCACAGTGAAGAGTATTGTGCATACGATGGGCCCGCAGTGTAGCTATAGAAGACAACTGTATGAATGTGGAGTGTTCAATGAACACACACAAATATAAATGAAACCCTTCACACAAGTAACAGCCCCCTCACATCCACACACAATATTCAAATGACGTGTTACACAGTGAAGTTCTGTGTAGTGAATGAGATTCAGCTGTGTCACCAGAATGACTGACTGATGTTGTGACTCACTGACTGACACTGACTCACTGGTTCAGTTCAGCAGAACAATGCGGGCCAATGGAAAATCTGCTTCATTGACTGGTGTCAGATTTTACATGATGTGTCTCCAGGCTGCTTTAAAGTCCCCTAGTATAATTAAAATGTTCCTCTAAAAGTTACAGTATGTAGTGTTACAGTGAAAGTTCACTTATCTTATCTATACAGTATTAAAGGAGCTGCTTTGTCCACAACTCAAGTACTGTGACTCTTGTTACAGAGACCCTAAATTTGAGGACACAAACTATTACAGCTAAATATAATAATAGGGTATGGGCAATTTAATTTCTTGAGTAAAATAGCATATTCTTTGCGACTAAATAATAGAAGATGTTTGAAGAGACCAGGGCTGGCATATTAGACTGTCCTGACCTAGTGGGACCATTGAATAGAACAAATTAGTAACACATGCATCTTTCTTTCCTTCTACAGTTCAGATTTCTACTGTGAAATATACAGTAGTGCAACAGTGAAGCCTTTCATACACAGTTATTTGTGTATGAAAATAATAAAAAATTTGATTTAATGAAAAAAATAAAAAGTTTAAGCTGTTTTTAACTGTGCAGGGAATGAAACATTTATCCAGATGGTTAGGCAAGTCTACCTATCTAGCTTTCTATCTACATCTGTCTGTTTATTTATTTAACAGTGTGTGTCTCCATATACTGGGTCAGTCGAGCCGCAGCCACCTGTTGAGGAAATACTACGACGACAGAGGGGGTTTACACCAATGCGCGCACCGGGGCTGAGCTTACTGCAGTGACGCACTGAGCTCACTCAGCCAGCTCACTGTTTGGCTTTTTTCAGAGAGAGGGGCGGGGGGACCTCCCGGCGTTGTGGTTTTTATCCATTCCCAAAGCATTTTTTTAATTTGACCGACCAACTCAGTCCACTCCAGCTGACGATGCTCCTATCTGAGCACTGATTTCAACTCTATTTATTCACCAAACCAGTAAGTCTAAGAACTTTTTCAACAGCCTGAATGGCTACTGAAACCGGTAGTTTACTGATTTCAGTCATTCGACTCGGCGGGGCTTTTCTCGCCACAGAGCCTTTCGTGACCACTCTTACGCATGGCGGTGTGCTCCTCTGACTTTGACTGCCCTACGGGGCATTGTATGGCACATATCAGTATATACCCTACTTTGAGACGAAAAGAAGATTCTGCTGTTTGTTTCAACAGTGTTTGTATAACCTGTATAACTTCAAGTGAACAAATTGAGTTAATTGTTCATGTCTGTGCAAACTTTGTGATAGTTTATTTTGTTTCTCTGCCTACGTTTCTGTGATGTTCATATAGTGACAAAATTTTATAATAGTATTTGTAAATAGTTTACCAGCTCCTGGTTTCAGCAATTTAATTGGTTATTCTGGTTACCAGGCCATATGCACCTGAATAACTGTATCACTTTTTATTTCATAGACCTACAATAGCTATGTATTGTGTAATGTGTTGTCTAATGACAGTGTGAGCGCGAGCTTGACGCACTGTCACTAGGACGTGATGACCTCATTGGCAAAGACAGAAAGCAGTTAACGTTACTTTAGGACCGTACTTGAATTATCTGTACTTTACTTGAGTATTTTCATTTTCTGTTTCTTAATACTTTGAGCACCACATTTTAGTTGCAGATACTGCCCTTTTTGCTGCACTACATTTGCATGATAACTTTAGTTAGGCTACGTTTACTTTATTGATCCTCAACAGGAAATTCAGAAGCTACCCAGCACTATAGGCCTGTAGTAATGTAAAATGTGGAATTCTGCTTAATGAGTACTTTTACTTTTTGTAGGCAAATTTTAATATATTTTGATGCTAATGCTTTTGTAACAAATTAAATGCAGGTCTTTTACTTGTAATAGAGTATTTCTACACTGTTGTATTGCTACTTTTACTTTTACTACATCCCTACAGTATGATGCAGGCATTGTAAGGAAGGCTTTATAAAGTTTATTCATCAGTTGTATTTTGCAGCACAAGAGACCAGAGAATTTAGTGTGGGGCTCATAAACATTTCAAACATCAGGTCTTGTCTACTTTATGACAAGACAAACTTCCTGTTTCCTGTCAAGTACTTTTACCCCTTCTCGTGGGAGGAAGACCATGTATGTATGTCTGTATTAGGTTCCTTTAGTTTAGCCAAGCACATTTTAATAAATGTGCTCTTAAATATTTTGTCTTTTTCTTGAACATATTGCATCTGCAAATATATAAATTGTTGTTTATCACAACAATTTAGCTGGAGGGCATTGGAGAGGAGAGGACTCAATCAGAAAGTCTTTTGGAGTTCACACTCACTTAGCCCCAGCCAGTGAAGATATTTTTTAACTTCTCTGAAAAGTACTGAGCTCTTTATGGCTGCTATATGCTGGACCAGGTTTCAGCTAGCAAATATGAATCTATTTCCATATTACATTTTCACTGTTGTACAGTTTAGAGTTTTTTGATCATTATACAGCATGTGACAGGGACGTAAACATTTTTAGCCTGCCACAGATGACAGATCAAAGTGCATGTGTGTTGAAATAGGGAGCTGATGACAAACCGTTGCACTGCTGCAACTCTGTTAGTGTGTGAAAGCCAAAGACTCAGCTGAGCTTTATTTAGCCCAGCAGTCCTGTCATCTGTCCATCCATCTAGCTCGGGTTGGGAATGCCACCTGCTGGTCTTCTTCCCCCCTGTGCTGGAAAAATCTGCCTGCCTCCCCAGTTTAAGCCAGGAAACTCTGTGTCAAAGAAATTCCCATTGCACCAACCACAAATCCCGGTTGAAGCTGACTCAGCACTTCGCACACGCAGTGTGATTGGTGAAGGATTAGATAATTACAAGGGAGCAAAAACCGAGAAGACGTTGGCACAAGCATCCAAATGCACTCTCACCTACTCACATGCAGTCAGAGTATACATACCCATGCAAAATTGTGAGGTCTTTTTTATGGGAAAGCAGGATGAGCAGTAGATTTTTCTAGACAGCTCTTTGAACACCTTCTGAGTGTGAGACTTTCCTCAGGAGATCACTGTTTCTGTATTTGTCTGCTTATCTGCTGCACTCTCAGGGGTTCGCAGACTGCAAATCATGCTGCAGAGGGTTTCTGTGACTCAAGCTCATTCTTTTGAAAAGAACAAAGAGTCACTTCCTGGATGTCGCAGCTCTTGTGTATCTGACGTGCACACTGGTGTATTTTATCCCTTGCTATTGTGTGATTTGTGTTTTCTTAACAGGACAAAAATGCCTTAATAGTAAAAACTATGTACAGTACATACTGTTTATCTCAGATAAAATTACACTTCATAAAGGATGGACTATTAATGAAGTAACATTGTCCACAGGGTTAGCGGTTTGATCCCTGGCTCCACATGTTGAAGTGTCCTTATCTGAAACATGAACCCCAAGTTGTTGCTCCCAGTGGCCATCATTGTGTGAGTGTATGTGTGTGTGTGTGTGTGTGTGTGTGTGTGTGTGATTGGGCAAATGGAAGGCACATACTGTTTCATGAGACTGCTTCAGTCACAGCTATAATCTTGCCCTGCTTGGCCTGAGTTCATAACCTTTACCCTCTGTCTCCTCCATCTGCCCTGTCACTCCCTGCTGTACACTCTTTAACTGCAGATGTTTTCTACCCCACATGCCGGCTCTTGTGGAGAAAATCTGAGAGCAGCTGCAGTCTGCTAGCTGAACCCTCCAGGAACCAGTCACTGGCTTTTAGTTGCCAGAACAAATTACACAGCACCATCAGCCTCTTGAGTGACTGTGCATGTGTGTGTCATGTTTTGGAGAGGATCCACACAACCCTCCTGTAAGGAGTGCTACAGACATGCTCTGTTTCAAAACAACCGCTGAGTAATGACAAGGTAGCCAACAAAGCAGGAAATCAGGCCTCTCATCTATAGCAGCACTTTACTGAATACAATTCAACACATAGCATACGGTACATAGATCCATAAATATACTGTATGTGTATGTCTGTGGTTGGATTTGCGTGATGGGGCAATCTGCAGTGTTATAAAGTCATGGTTTCTTGCTTATCTTCTGATATATTCTTTAACCCTTATCATGGAAATGTATAAGGAAGTACTTTCACACACAGTACATACATACAAATGATTATTGTACATTCAGTATGCATATGTTGGTTAACATATTTACCAGTCCCAGAGGTCTGGTTAAAATTCTCAGCTTTTGTTCTTTCTGACCTCTACTTCTAGAAAGAAGACTTCTTCTCTTTGGACTCATCCACTAAAGTAATAGCTTTTTTTAGACACAACTCAGGGCTTTATATTAAAAAAGGGATATTTTACTTACCACTTTACCAAGTGGGTGTCATCCTTCGTCATAGCTAAATTTGCTTTTCCAAAATGGAAAAGGTAGGCCTATTAATACATTTCAAACCAACTTTGAAGAAAATTACTTGTCTAAATTTTTCAGCAACATGTCATCAACCTCAGTGATAACAAAATGATAAGCTGTCCAGTTGCTGCTTCACATCAAACTGCTGTTTTCAGAGCTCACCTCTAATTAAAAATGGAGTAAACATTTGTATGAACATATAAATCCTGCACATGCACAGGATGAAAATCTTATTTTCTTTACCTGAGCTTAACTGCTGAGACTTTGGGTGGATTTTTCCAGTGACAAAAACAGTAATTAACTAATCCTCTGAATTTGTTTTACAAATAGAGATAACACATTGGAAGTGTTGTTTTTACACTGCTTACATGTGTTTGTGTGTGTGAAACTGGGAACAGTTTTATTATAGCGTGTGTGTGTGTACTAACTTCTCTATAGTGTGTATGTACAAGGGGTCAATTAAAACTTAGGTTGTTAGAACATAACTTAGGTTGTTAGAACATTTCGCTTACATCACCATCCATGATGGTGATGTAAGCGAAAGCACCAGACTCTTAGAAACACTCTCACACACATTTTCTCACACATTTTAGTTGCCCCATGTTCTGCTTTTGTTTCCTCAAACCTTAAAAATAAAGAATTCAAGCAGACTTCGGATTCTTTTAGGGTTGTTTCATAGCCAGAACTGGTTGGTGCTGTTGTGTGTTGGGCAACAATTAAAACAAGGTGACCTTGTCTCCTCATGAGAAACACTTTTTTTTTCTCAGAAATATTTTTATTAACTTTTTGAACAAAGAAACAGATACCATAATGTGAACGACAGGCATCTACAGTGCCTTGCGAAAGTATTCGGCCCCCTTGAACTTTGCGACCTTTTGCCACATTTCAGGCTTCAAACATAAAGATATAAAACTGTAATTTTTTCTTCAGCAGGGACAGGGAAGATTGTTAAAATTGATGGGAAGATGGATGGAGCCAAATACAGGACCATTCTGGAAGGAAAAAAGTTTGAAATATCCAATAAATTTCGTTCCACTTCATGATTGTGTCCCACTTGTTGTTGATTCTTCACAAAAAATTACAGTTTTATATCTTTATGTTTGAAGCCTGAAATGTGGCAAAAGGTCGCAAAGTTCAAGGGGGCCGAATACTTTCGCAAGGCACTGTAAAT